CTGTTGAAAAAGACCAGTTTTCATTCCAAGTTTTCCTCTTATTTTTATCAGGTAAGTTTAGCATTAAGGTTATTTTTGTACCAAAAAGCTTTGAAGGAAATGTATGCCCTACCAATTCTCAGACTAGAATCAAATGTGTAATTTTCCTATTGTAAGATATTAAAGACCATGGAAAGTCATGCTTCTGAAGTAATGTACAGTAATTTACATTCACAGTTAGATATCTAGCAATTGTGGCTTGATTATTACAAATGTTATGTATAAACAAATACATTACATTATATTTTATATTAATGGAGCTAGTATGATATGTGATGTTCAATTTACATTTTTTGTCTGGAAGATGCTTCTTTTATTTTAATGAGAGAGATCTCAAATTACTTGAGAAATGTTGAAATACATAAAACATTTATCATGGACCTTGAAATGTCTATTGATTATCATTGCTCTTAGTTTTTGAATGATAAAGAAAAATTATATTCAGTGAAGTTACAAAATATAACTAATGAATCTGTTTTGTGTTTTAGCCCATCCAAGGGGTGTAACATGCCTTGGTGATCCCTTCAAGAAAGGTATAATCATACATGTGACGTGCATATTTACATATCTGTCAGTGCACTTTGTGTTCTCAAGCTTCAGTTGTCCAACAATACTTCCTTTTCAATACTGACTGGTGCAGGCTTTTGAGAAGAACTTTTATATAGATAAAGAACTGTACTGATTCCTTGTCAACTTGATTCATGATGATGATGCATGTGATAAACAGGCCCTGTTTTATGAGGCTGTCTTTCTATTTACTGATCATGCATTTATCAAGTCCTTTATCACATGCATGTCATTAACATCAATAGAAGTTAGATACAACTTAGATGCTTCGACCTTTGATTCTTTGTCTGGTGGCTGAGTGGTACATGCTATAGAGAACTGAAAAAAAAACTAATGCCTGACTTGCTCTTTCTTCTGTATGTCTTTTTTTAAGGAATGTATATTATAGGTATATTTGAAAGTATATTTGATGCTGTAACTAAGGACAATTGCATGCTTTTATCTCCCTTCAGTGTTAACTATTTCTGTTTTTTTATAACAAATTAAAGTATTGCATGTTTTGGGTGATTTTCCAAAATATGTGATCACATGCATTACATGCCCGTAACATTTTCTGCTTATGTTTTTTGTGTTATCTTTTTTTGCACTTTCTTCATACCCGTTTGCATTACTTTCAGTGCCACCATCTAGTTATTATTAGAACTTTTTATGTAACAAATTAACCCATTGATGCCAGATGATTGCACTGTCCACTGTAATTTTGTTTATTGCATTTTGTTTACACATAGATAACTCAACAAGCACTAGGTTGCCAATGAGTCAATTAGTAGGACTAAATAACCGTACTTGATATCCCCATTCCTTGAATTTTATCAATTGCTATTAATGACATTTCTATATTATTATTGATGTGAAGATTATTTTGATATTATTACCAGTACTAATAGTAATAAAAAAATAAATGATTTTTTCTTTCCAAAAATCAAGAAAGTGGGTAAATATTTGAAATCTGGAAGGATTAGTAATTGACTCAGTGGTGACTTAAACTGTTATGGAGCCATCTACATGAAAGCATTGATAAGCTAAAATCACAGTATGTACTTCTCATCCTGGCATCATTGGGTTTGGTTAAGGTGATTCCCAGTTGGGATAATGTAGTTTTATTTATATATGTTTTATTTATTTATATACAGAAAACTACAGAGGCTGCTCAGCTGCTAGTAATGATGCCAGTGCTATTTGCTATTCAGATAGAAAATGATTACTATGGCCATGGCCCAAATAGCTAAATAATTTATGTATAGGTAGATAGATCAACCAGTACATCCAAATGGAAAACACATTAAGATTTTGGTTCATAGTTATTTACATTTGGTATATATTAATATCTCTTAGGGATAGTGCAATCTATTAACCCCTTGGATTTAGGTGGGTGACATGAACATGTAGTCATGGAAAAATGAATAGGCTAACCAAGTGTGGAATGTAACATCTGGGAGCCATAACTGGAAGAATATGGCTACAGGTAAGCCACTGTCACCATGCTCAGGATTTTCTTCCTGTCGGCCGTAACTGGTGGCAAAAGTTGTATTACAGAAAATTGAATGTCATAAAAAATTTAGAATGACAGAAATGATGAAGTATTGCTATTGTTATTATTAGTTCACTGAGTTATGGATACCTAGAGAGGTGATATGGAGTCTGTGTAAAATTGTTAAATTATTTATAGTTTTTTTTTTTATCTTGTTTATTATGACTTCTTGTCCTTTTTGCTTTGGCTACCTATATCCATTTAAAATTTTGTATATGATATTGAAGAGTATGTGATTTGTGATTATTTGCAATTCATTACCTGTTATAAGTGAATCAGAACAGTCATCCAGCTAGTATTTTTTTAGGTTTTAGGTGTCAAGTATGCAGTACAGTATGTAATAATGTGTTGAAAATACTGTTTAACAAATTAGCAGTAAAAGGCTTTATGTATATATCAGAAAATTAGATAAAAAGTGTATAAGAAGTTGTAATGAATGAGTTAAGAGGAAAGAATGATTTGTTTAGTTTGCAATATGGAAGTTATAAGGTGCATAACCTGTTGCCTCTGGATGCCAAAAAATCAAGCAATTGAGTTCACAGGTGAGGTAAGGTAAACATATAATTGACTCCTTAGTGATTAAGCATTTGTGAAGCCATCTGTGTATAAAAGTAATTGATAAAACTAAGTCGTACTGGACAGGACATTAATATATGCACTCCAAGCATCAGTGGGTTGATATCTTTAAATTTATTAACAAAAAGATTTTTGGAAAGAAGCAAATCTTGGCTCTCAATATTTTGAAGTAAATATATTTGAGTTCATTCATTTTCAAAGCCAAAAAGAGAATAACCTTGTAAATTGTTTGATGTAATTAGTGTTAATTTATGTTTTGTGTAACTTTCTCTGTGTGATATCAAATATTCTTGATCTGATGTTTTACTCATTTTTTTCATGGCTAGGATGATTGCAATTTTCTTTATTGCATCATATTTGCTCTGAATGACCTGTTAAATAATTCAGACTGCGTTGGTACTGTTTTTGTTTCCTGTGTTTTGTTACTCATTAGATGTGATTTTTCACACAGAAGGATGTGTACATATTCAAAGCATGAAATTTCAGTTTGAAATATGTCTGACTGGAGACATTCAGTATTTGTAATATGTCTTTGCAGCTGTTGAATAATTTTTTAAAGATTATATTTCACTGCAGCTGTGAGTCTTTTCTTTCTTATGTTTGCTCAGCTTTTTTTCTCTCTTTCTTTTTGTTTTCCCTTTTTTTGCTTGTATATATTTGCTTGCTACAATTGTTATTTTCTCTGGTGTAGTAAGCACTTATATATCATGAAGATTGTACTTTTTCATGCCCTGAAATTCTGTTTCAGAATCTAGTTATGTGATATACACAATTTTTCATTCAGTGAAAGCAGTAAATATTGATTTACTCTTCCTTCCAGGCCTGATTCAAACATTGTATCAATCAGGTGTGAAGCTAATAAGATATATCAACTGAGTTGACTTTGTGCACCCATAATAGTGGCAGGGCATACTCAGTAATCTTGTAAGACAAAAAAGAAAAAATGCACTTTGGCTACCCCTTCTAATCCTTTCTTTCATCAACTAGATTTCGTATCTGTGCGGTGCACTTGGTTTCTTATGGCTATAGTCTGTGTTCTTGCTTACTCTGTAAATGCATTTCCAGCTTCATGGGATTCATCTCTGTTTTACACAGTAATTTTCAGTTAGTTTCTTTTTGTTTATTGTCTGAATCAGTTCCTTATGTAGGAGGAGTTTTGTCCTTTCATGGTATTTCCCATTTTGCATTGTGTTGATTGTTTCTCCTCAGCTCTTTTCTTGTGGTGAAAAGCACCCTTGTAAGATTTCTTCATCCAGCCTGGGATAGCACCTAGCTTGTGGCTTCACCCTGGGTGTGCTAGGGGCTGACTGGAATCCTGTTTTCTCCTACCCATAAAGTCTGTCTCTGATACCACTTTGCATATTCATATTGGTAGTTTCACTCTTTCCCTGTGGTGTTTCAAGATGGGAACTTGGCCTGTGGGTACAAGTATGTTTGCCAGTACTCCTACAATGTAACCCTGCCCTTGGCTCTCATTTGCTGTCCCTCCCCAAGCCAGCGAGTTATGGTATGTCCTTAAACAGGTGGATTATTTGCTGCCAGTCCAGCCTCACTAAGACAGACAGTCATGATGAGTCACGGTAGACTGGCCCACAAATATTCTGTTTTTGTCTCCAGGGTAGTTAGTCATGCTGTACCCTTATAGGTTCATGTCTCCTCTTTAGTGGTGCATTTATCTCCAGCAAGGACCCACAACTCCCTTTGCTTCCCGTTACATTAAGGTTTGACAGATCTTGCTGGGGCTAGCCCCTGCTAGGGATTGTCTCCACATTGTATTCACTGTTATGGCTGCATGAAGTCCCAGTTGAGATTTCTAATTGTGTTCATACTTAATCACTGAAATCTTTGCACTAAACCTCTCAGACAGGAAGAGAGAATTTTTCCTCCATCAGTTGCCTCATTATGCTTGGATATATGGTGCTTAAAACTACATTGCAGTTTTCTAGTTTATAATTCTTTATGTTATGCACCAATTCTTTTGTAACTGTTTGTCTTTCAGCCATGTTGTGCTGTGGCTAAGCACATACATTGTAAATCTTTTTCATTTTCTAAATTAGTTAAATATTATTTATATAATATATATATATATATATATATATATATATATATATATATATATTTATGTATATATATATATATATATATATATATATAATATATATATATATATATGTATATATATATATATATATATATATATATATATATATATATATATATATATATATATATATATATATATATATATATATATATATATATATATATATATATATATATACATATATACATATGTATATGTATATGTATAATTATATGTATCTGTATATGTATAAGTATAAGTATAGTAATTTAATATATATTTGTATATGTAAATGTAAATGTAAATGTAAATATATATGTATTTGTATGTATATATATATATATATATATATATATATATATATATATATATATATATATATATATATATATAATATATATATATATATATATGTAACACACACACACACACACACACACACACACACACACACACACACACCACACACACACACACACACACACACACACACACACACACACACACACACACACACACACACACACACACACAACACACACACACACACACACACACTTACATACACACACACACATACACACACACACTTACATACACACACACACTTACATACACACACACACTTACATACACACACACCTACATACACACACACACACCAACACCACACACACACACACACACACACACACACACACACACACACACACACACACACACACACACACACACACACACACACACACACACACACACACACACACACACACGATATATATATATCTATATATATTCATCTATCTGTCTATCTATATATAGATAGATAGATAGATATATAGATATAGATATATAGATATATATTTATGTATATGCTTATATATATATACATATATACATACACTCATTCGTAATTGTTCTTATATAATTTTTTTTTTTTTTTTCACTTTTTATTTATCAGAATGAATACATTTTTAGAATGTTAGGGTTATCAGTATAGTATATTAAAGATGATTGTTGTATTTAAATCAACTACTTTCCACTATTCCATTTCAAAACCCAAATTAAAATACTGCAGAGAACGCCTGGTGTGAGCCCAGAAAGTGTGACTACACTGGGCTCTACTACTGTCCTGCTTGTCACTGGAATTCACGTCAAGTCCTGCCAGCAAGGGTTATCCACAACTGGGATTTTGAAGAGAGAGTCGTGAGTCGGCAAGCAAAGCAGTTCCTTCTACTGATGAAAAGCAAGCCGGTGCTGCATCTAGAAAAGTTGAATCCGCATCTCTTCAAATTTGTTGAAGAACTCAGTACAGTCAAGGTAAGTGTAGGCTTTGGATTTGACTGGAGGTATGTAAGTATTAGGTGTTGTTGAATGTAAAGTGAAATTGAATTAGTCTAACTTAGCTGTATGCATGTTATGGAACTCTAAGATTTGAATTGTGATTATAAAATGGAAGTGTGACCAGTTTGCTAAAGATATATAAATTTTCAAATTCACTTTCAAGAAATTATGGATTTCTGTGGATTTCAGCCAGCTGCAGTGGTGACAAAGGAATAGTAAAATAAGAAAATTGACTATAAAATATGTTTTTTTCACTTATTTGGAAATCATTAAATATCATTTACAAGTTAACCCATAAAAAAACACAATTTTTCAGCTGTTCTTCCCCATCTGCAATAATGGCCAAGCTTTCACAAACAGTAAATTTGATCTTTTGAGTCTGGAGATAAATGATAAATGTCTAATGGTTGCTGAGCATCAGAGTTGAGAATAGTGAATGAGGGTAAAGTCTAATTTTCCTTCGCACATTAAGCTTCCATCTTATTAGGTACACAAGAAATTGGTGTTTATGTGTAATTGTGTTGATATGCTAGCATCAAAAAGCAAGGAAAAGGAAGAAAGAGAGAGAGTACAGAGGAAGGGTATATACATTCTTCAGATTATGAGGAGATTGATTTTACTTGCAAGACAATATTTCTCTCAGTGCGATACATCAAATGGTTGTTGAGCAATGTCACAAAGTTTAGAATAGCTACTACAAGCCATCAAGGAAGGCGAAGGAGAAGGAGGAGGAGGAATTAACAGATGAATCATTCCTGCCAAACACCGACAGACATGAGAATAGGGCTGAGACAATCCAAGTGGACCAGTAGCAAGCCATTATGCTATCATGCCATTTTGTTGTGGCTTTGACTTGATCTATCCTTTGCATACTCAATGGCAAGTATCACAAATTGGCTTTAGCTCCCACGGTCTTTAATCCTCCTTATTAATAGGCATATAACCTTTATGTGAATCCATTTTCAAGGAATGTACAGGCATCTGCATTTTTAAAATTCTTAATGTTACACCTATTCTCATATTATTACAGAAACTAAGAGAGGACTTGCTAACCATGAAACAATACCTCAGCACTTGTCGCTCAGCTCAGGAATCTCGGATACTGCGACAACTTGAAGAGCGGCAACATTTTGTGGAGAATGCACATATGTATTCTTTACAAGACTTGATAGATGTTAACTCCGGGCTGCTGGTTGACTACCTCAAGAAGATACATGGGAACTTTTTGACTCATATAAAGAATGAATGCCTGGTAAGTTTGGAGCTAAATCTTTTTTATTATTTTTTTTAAGTAAAGTTCTGTAAAGTGTGTTTTTAATTGTGATACTGATTAATATTGATAATGTCTTGTATATAACTGGGGATGATGATGATATCTTGGTTGTATGCATATTTGTGTGCATGTGTGTGTGTGTGTGTGTGTACATGTGCATGCACACATATGTTTGTATGAATATTTGACTATGTATTGTTCTTTGCAGGTTTGCCAAGGAAAAGGTTACATCTGTGAAATCTGTGATGTGAGTGAGATCATTTTTCCCTTTGATGGTGGTGTAGTTGTGTGTGCTGGATGCTCAACAGTTCTTCACCACCTGTGTTTCACCTCAAGGAACAGCCTCTGTCCTAGGTGTGTTCGACAAGAAGCAAGGAAGAGAACAGACACAGACAAAGGGATAGGAACAGGAGATTAGGAAAAGGAATGAGATTTAAAGGTTTCTTAAGACTTCAGCACTTCCCTTCTTTTGTTATGATTTTGTTTTTGGAAGCATAATATATATTATATATATATTTGACAATTAAATGTTCATGTTTTTTCTCTGCATTCTGTGTTCACCTTCCAAAACTCATGTCCCTTTTCAGAAGATACCCTCATGAATTATCTCATAAATAATAGCTACATCTATTCACATTTCTTTGAAGCCAATATCAAAATTTCTCAAAAATGTCTGTCTTCCATTTTTTCTCCTCAAATGAGTTACCAAATGTTGTCATTTACCAAAATCCTCTCTTGTTCATAGCTTTAACCTAAAACCATTTTTCTCCGAATAAACATCTGCTTTGAAACAGCTTTGCTCATATCGTTCTGTTCCATTATTATGCTTTTGTGTGCATTCATTTTACTTGTCATTTATTATACATTTACAGATATTAAATACATATAAATACATATAACAGCATTATTGTACATACTGGTCATTTACATGTGAAAGAATATCAACCATTATACATTTAAAAATAATTCATTCATACTGTTCATTAATAGGCAAAACAATATCATACATTATTAATCATACATTTCAGAATGACCATATTGTTCATTCTGTTCATTCAAAAATATTGAGATGTATTGCTTTTTGTTGCACTCAAAGACATTGTCTTACAAACGAAGGAGACTGTATCTGTAAATTCTACAATATAAACATAAACTGTGTTAACCAAAATGCGATAATGTGTGACTTAAACACCCTTTATTGTTGAAAGTATTATGTGATACAGAGTAAATGTGTATTTTCACTAGATTTATGATGATTTCTATGTCAGCAATTGTAGGCAAAGTTTTGCCTGCAGAGGTTTTTGGAATTAAAAATTAAAGCTTTTTTTTCTGTAAGTCAGTTAAATTAATATTTGTGTTCGAAACTGCTGGCTAATGTAAAAGAAAAAAGAAAGATAGAAAGAAAGAAAAAGAAATTAAACAGCCAAGTCTTTTGTCTTATTTATGAAATATATAATTATATCTATGATTGTATGTTTTTGTGTTTATGTTTATATGATCTCTGTGCTGATGATAAGAGATATAATGTACAAAATTTCTAATTTTTTCTTTTTCTCTAGCTGCAATAGAGTGTATTTCATTGATGAAAAAAGTGTACAGTTTCCATGTATTTGAAATATGTAGTATATTATTGATCTTGCTATGTATAGCTGGATATTCATCATAAATATTTGTGTTTGCTACTTTTTTTTTCTTTCAGGACAATCTGAACTTGTGGTACGAATAGAATATGATCTTTCTTTCAAAATTTTCATTATTTGGCATTTTAAATCGGTTCAAATTGATTTTATAATTTTGATATGCATATTTTTAATATGATTTTTGTGTGCTGAGAATAGGTAACCAAAGAGATAAGAAAGCAAGTGTTATGATATATACTAATAGCTAATCTTATGGCTAATTATTACACTATATTTTGAAACTCCATATCAATGGATTGTTTTAGTATAGTGGGAGGGAGAGTAACAATGCTTTAAGATTAACAGATGATTAATAAAATTTTATTACAATTTTATTTATTAAATTGACCCTTTTTAAAACCAACCTGAGTCTCTGGGAGAACCGGTCTCAACTATATAGAAAGATATTTTACCAGCAAATGTTCAAAAACCTTAGATAAAATTGGTGTTACTGAAATGGGCCTATAGTCAGCAGGTGAAAACATTAGTGGGCCCTTGGGAATAGGGGTAATATTACCAAAACACCAGCTAATTTAGGAGTACTCCACCATATTCGTCTAATTCTGATAACAGATATACTTGAAAAAGCAAATTAATTAAGGCATGGTAATGGGGGACATGAAGGAGGAAGTTCAATATCTTTTAAATTTAGTTTTGGATTAAAGCATTCTGCTAACGGAGTATCCATCAGACTTAAAGGAGGAATGGAGGACTCAACACCAAGTGCTGACTGCCATTTATAAGGCTGTGTCCCTTCTGAGAGAACTTCTTTCAAATGAGCATTATATTCTGATTTAGCCTCTGAATAAGCATTAGTTGCTATATTTTGCATGGCAACATAATTCTCCAAACATAGAGACCAGATATTGTAGGCAGTATGTTTGTCCCTATAAGCCTGGTGGCATCGTTCATTAAACCATACTTAACACACGAGAACGAGATTAATGAGCTTTGCAGGCTACAAATCTCTTTATGATGTCCGAGAATTATTATCATTTTGTTTTATTCATCTCCTGTATCATCATTGTTATTATTGTTGTGATCATTTTATCATTATCATTATTGTTATTATTTTTATCAGTACTGTTATTTTAATTTGAGGACATTCAAAACTTTTAACTCATGACCCCCAAAAATATAATTTTTATCAATAATATTACCAGTACTGTTATTTTAATTTGAGAACATTCAAAACTTTTAACAGGGTGTGGCACCTTTGGGGTGTCTGGCTTGGACCCCCCACCACTGAAAATGTATGTCACTGCTTATTTCTGATAAAATGAGCCTTACAGATGAATTTGAAATTGGTTTCAAGTTGTTACCCCATGAGCTGATCTAGCATAATATTTTGGTGTCCCTTTTTCGCTCTGGCTGGGGTACCCCACCACGAAAAATGTCTGTCACTGGTCATTACAAATACACTATTCTTATTACATTTTGACTTGTTTTTCTTTGTTACTTACAAGAGGTAAGCTAGCTCAAAATTTCCATAAATTATCCTGCCCCTGTGTACCACACCCACCAGCAGGGGACCGGTAGACTTCCATTTCTTTGTTTTTCCAAGTATATACATCATTGCTGGCCACAACTAATTTTGTTACCTTTCCAGCTAGGCTGACCCCTGTGGGCTCCTGGTCTATGCCCTTGCAGGACAAAAATCAAAAAGAAAGAAAGAAAAGAAAGAAAGAAAAACTTTGCCTCTGATTTGAAACACACTGATGCCACACTTCCACCTTTACCGGCTAAAGTAAACTTGTGCGAGTCTTTTATGGAAGACCCTGTCAAATCCAGGCTAAGCTGAAGTTTATAAACCATTCATCTTCATCATCAAGGGGCTAACGCCGACTAGGGCGCATTGCCACATCCACCCTTTGTTTCCACCTACGAGGATCCCTCATGGCAAGATGCCAGGCAGGGACTTGGCCCATCTCTAGTTCTTCACGACAGGTTTGGTCGATCTGCCCAAGCCACGACTTCCTAGGTCGTCCCACAGGCCTCCACAGTAAAGTGAGCCAGGTGGCTGTATAGCCAGAGTTGGCAATCACGGATTGTGCAGATAACAGGTCCTGTGCCAGTCTCACGGTGCAACCGTTGGTTGGACACATGGTCCCGCCAACAGTACCCCATGATCCGGCGCAAAGACCTATTGCCAAAGGCTTGAAGATGAGCCTCCAAGGCACAGGATAATGTCCAGGTTTCACTACTGTACAGCAAAACTGGCATTATCAGAGCCTTGAAAACTCGTAGCTTGGTCCTTCTGCACAGGTACTGACAACTCCAAATACTCTTGTTGAGAGAGTTCATGACCCCTACTGCCAGCACAATCTGTCTGCTCACTTCCTGGTCTGACAGCCCAGAGTTATGAACTACACTACCAAGGTATGTAAAGCTCTCTGTGACCAGTGTATTCGCCGCAAGCACGTACCGAATGAACAGGTTCTCCTAGCAAGTCCCCAAAATCCTGGACCTGGGTCTTGGTCCAGGAGACCTCTAGACCCAAGGGTTTCGCTTTATTGCTAAATGCATCCAGAGCCACCACTAAGGTTTCCAAAGACTCAGATAGAATAGCAACATCATCAGCAAAGGCAAGGTCTGTAACTTTGATATTGCCCAGCATTGCTCCACTTTGAATAGTAGCTCTGCCCAGTATCCAGTCCATGCAAGTGTTGAAAAGAAAAGCTCGACAGGTCCCTACCACACTTTACAGCACTTTCAGTACCAGTATACAGGCTTGCTATTAGTCCATTAATCGTTGTTGGAATTCCTCTCAGTCTCAGGATCTCCCAGAGTGAATCCCGATGCGCCGTATCGAACGCCTTCTTGAGGTCGATTTAGGCTACAAGCAGTCCATACCCGAACTCACGGCGGAGTTCTACAATGACTCGAAGCGCAAGGATACGGTCTATTGTGGACTTATCAGGAGTGAATCCGGATTGCTCCAGTCTCTGATGCCTCAGTAGATGGTCTCTGATACGTCTCAGAAGTATATGGGCGAGAACCTTGCCGGGTATACTGAGCAGTGTGATGCCTCGGTGATTGCTGCAGTCCCAACAGTCCCCCTTCCCCTTCCAGAGAGGGATGACCACACCCCTCAACAGGTCAGGAGGAACGGTACCGGACCGCCAGATGGCAGCCAGGACAGAATGTAACCCCTGCGCCATAGGTTCATCACCAACCTTTAACAGTTCAGCTGGTATGCACCATGAGACTATTAAGATACCTGCTGCTTTACCACTCTTCAGCTTGGAGATCGCCCCCCTAACTTCAGTTAGGGAGGGAGGATCCTCACTGATGGGTGGGTCCGGCAACGGGATCTCGGCACTCCCCGCATCCAAGTTAACTGTTGGTGGGTAAACCTGATACAACTGCTCAAAATACTCAGCCCAACGTTCCCGCACCGCAACAGGATCTGAAATGATCTGACCGCTTACTAAGCAAACTGCTATCACCTGTGAAGAGGGCTTGGAGTTCAGCTTTCTCAGGGCTTGGTATGTAGCGCGAAGGTCATTTACTAAGAAATGGCCTTCTACCTCCTCTGCAAGACTCCTAATAAACTGATCCTTGTCCCTTCTTAACAGAGACTGAGTTCTGCACATATGAGAACGGTGCAATTCCCGATCCCCTGTCAGATGAGCCGCACGACAAGCATCTGTGGCTTCCAGTGTCTCCTTCGAGATGAAATTCTGTATTACTCTCGGGCATACACCATTCGTCTCTTGAGCTGCATCAAGCATTTCACGCTTGAAGGTATTCCACAGAAGAACAGGGTCCGTCAGACTGTCAAGCATTGTGAAAACGGATTGCCTGCAGCAAACCCGCGGCACACACCCCACCTCCCTCAGCCTGTCCAAATGAAACACCCTAGGGTGATCATTGGACCACTGGGGAGTTTTGAAGTGGACCCGAAGGGTAGCCACAACCAATCTATGGTCAGTACCACAGAACTCAGCAATCCTGTAAACCCTGCAATTCTGGAGGATCATCCAACGAGTGCTAACGAGTATGTGGTCGATCTCCTTGGCTGCATTACCAGCATCGCTGTACAATGTCCAACGATGTGGGTCTGTTTGCAAACATATGTTTTCTTTGGCAAAATACTCTATCGTGCTGGCACAACACGCGCAAATCAATCATTACACAAGAAAAACAAATACAAAGCGAAAAAAATGTGAAGATGGCCTTTGCTGAAGCAAAGCATATTCTCAAATTTGTCTCAACTCTGTCTCTGTCAAAGACCATCTTCACATTTTTATCGCTTTGTTTTGTTTTTCTTGTGTAATGATGGATTTGCGCGTGTTGTGCCAGCACGATAGAGTATTTTGCCAAAGAAAAACACATGTTTGCAAAACATTTATTATGTATTAATAAGTTATGAAAAATAACTAAAAATAAGAGCCGATCAACGTTGTAACAAAACGACGGAACCTATTTTTTCCTCTCGACCACCTCAAAATATTTAGCTCTCACGAATTGAGTTACATAGAACCCTATTCGTGGATAGGCAGCACGCAGATATCGCAGAGGGAAGTAAATATAAATACACTAAACTTGCAAGACGACTATACTTAAGTTCCATATTATATGAAACGAACAGACAAGAAAAAGTGAAGAATAGATTCATTGTATATATGAGCCAACATTCAACAAAAATCCTAAATGCTTAGTTCACTTGTGCCTCACTGAAAAGATGGATGGAATAAGGACGTTGGGTATTCTCAGTAAATGCTGGTCATCACACTCGACAAAATCGTTCTCAATATTCAAGCTTTCAAACGCAGAAGACACGAAAGCCATGTGCAAACGGATAACAGAGACGCCTATTTCATTATTGCCAAAATCCCCTTCCCCTTTCATTCATTTTTATTTTTCTCTGAAATGTTTGCTTTATAAAAACAAAAGAAATAGTAGTACCTACACGTAAGTCTGAAGTAAAAAAAGATTTCCTATTGCGACGACCCTATCATTTCTACACACTTACCAGCAGACACATAACAACACACACACTACTCAACCCGAAGCACTAGCGAACAACTCATATAAGTCTATATATTAATAAGGGGTAACATAATATTATTCATACTATACTATTACATGTATCACGCTCAATATAGTCGAATAATATCGTAAGCACACGATACATTACTATCTGTGCTTCTGTGAGCAGAACCTCCGACGAAAAACGAAAAAGAAATTGAGATGTGTGTGTGTATGTGTAGTGGTTGGATGTGCTGGGTGTGTGTGTCGTTGTAGGAGTGTTGTGATGTGTCAGTGTGGTAGTGTAATCTCGTCTAACAAATTCTAGCAAAGAACGCGCGCCGTTGTCACGTTGCC